GACTGAGCCACCCAGGCGCCCCCATTCTATTTTTTAAAGTAGGCTCTATACCCAACATGGGGCTTGAACTCACGACCCTGAGATTGAGACGTATGCTCTACTGACTGAGCCAGCCCTCCTTTGAGATTTTTTAAATGGAAGAATACTTTTTCATTTTCTGTTCCTTTTTTAGAAGTGTATTTTTATTTTATGGAATCCTTTAAAATATGTTGAGATTATTAATTAGAATTATTTTAAAGTTCTTATTAGTTCCTGGAATCACCTCTGTTTCCTCTGGGGTCAGTTCTGTCTGTCCATCTTTGTCTGTCTTGTTTTTGGTTGGTCTCAAATATGTGATGATCCTTGGTTGCCAGGTCATGTTGACAAGTGAAGGGCTAGTTTGAGTAGTGTCAGTGCCTGCCATGGGTGTGTGGGCCTCGGGTCCCCATGGGCATGGATGGGCATGCTGTGGGGCCGGCCTCCCTGGAGGGTATTTCGGTGGAGGGCAGGAGAAAGCCTTGGGGTCCCCTAAGCTGCCTTTCCTCTGGAGGTGAGGATGGTGCTGTGAAGGGCTCTAGCATATTTCATTCCTGGTTGGAGCTGTCCTTCCTTCCTTATTCTCCTTCCCTGTGTCTGTCACAGAGATCTGGGCTCTGCCCTTCTTGGGCCCAGTACTCCCAGTAGAAGACTTTGTTAGGCAGATCATGAACTCTCTGGAAAAAAAGTTACCAGGCTTTAAGCAGAGAGCCCAGGAGAGAGAGGAGGACACCACTCATCTCAGCCACTCACCAGCAAAGCCCTTTCATAGAATGCTCATGAATCCAGCCTGCGCCCAACACTGGCCCTCCTTGTTGATTAACTCAGCTTCTGCAGGGCTCCCTGGAGGGAACAGACTACTATCTCTGGCATCTTCAGCTGGTTTTTCTTTGCTTTGTTTTCCCTCTCAGCCAAATTCCAGCTACTTCCAATCTTTGGAATTCCTCACAATTCCCGATCCACTGATGGCACCCTTCCAGAGTTTCCCACAGCTGTTAAGAGTTTTGTTTTTCAAAAATACAGGCCATGAACACTGAACACTTTTAACTGGAGCTTTGAAGAAAGAGACAGTGGGTGCCCTTGTTCAGCCACTCACCTTGCCTTTCAGTCAGTCCTCTTTGGCTGTAGTAGGGAGGACAGATGTGCTTAGCAACAAGCCCAAAGCCTGGGTCTCCCCCAAGATGAAGATGGGCACGTGTGGGTTCTTTCCTCCACCTTCCATGGAGCCAGGCCCTCAGGGGTGTGTATACTGGTGTCCAGCTTGTATCATGATTTCTCCAAAGGCAGGTGACTTCTCGCCTCATCTTGGGTTTTCCCACCCCATGCTTTGCATCTCATAAACACCAATAAATTTGGGAAGAAGACCTTAGAATTATATTAACATGTATTGTGTATAATTCCTTGCACTCTTGGCCATCTCTCAGTTTAAAATATTGAGTAGAAGAGAAGTATAGCGTTGCATAAACTTTAACAGTTTTGGAAACTACACCCACTTACACTGTATGTAACCCAAATCTCCCCATTGCTATGTGCCTTTATTTTCTCATTGGTGTTTAGGGGATAAGTATCAGACAAATAATAACAGCATCCAGTGGTTCACTCATTCAGTGGTTATTTGGAGCATACATATACCAGGCACAGTTCTCAGTGGTGAAAATAAATCATGAACAAAAGCTATAAAGGTCTCAGACCTCATGCGGGTGACATTCTAGTGCATTCTAGTATAAGTTTCCATAAGGAATGGAATTCAGTAAGAACAAATGTGCCCCCCCAGACTTTCTAGTGAACCCCTAGAAAGTATTAGAGGTACCTTGTTCCAAGCTAATCACCTTAGAGTAGGGGGAGGAAGGGACACAGCCTGAACCCGGGATCTTCTTCCAGAAGGCTCACAGGCTCCCATCCTAATGGCTCCCCAGAAAGACAGGAGGGGGTAGATATATTATTTCTACTTTACAGACAGGAAAACGGGAGTCCTGGGACCAACCACCCCGGGTCACCCTCAGATCCAGTGGTGGAAACATACCGAAAGCAATGTCTCCAGCTTTCTGGACTGTCTCTTCATCTTTAGCCTTGTAGCAACCAGCATTTGCAATCCTTTATATAAAGAAAGATTGCATAGAAAGGGGAATTTCATCACATTTTGAAAACAGAGCATATAATAAATTCTTCAGATTTCTGATGACAGGTGAGAGCTTTTTCTTCCCCCAAACAAGATTCGACTTTATCAGTTCACTCATGCCTCAGGTGAGCACGTTTTCTGAACAGTCTGATTCTGAACGCTGTATAGTGTTCAGAGGCTGATTCTGAACACTTTATAAAAGTGTGCAGAGGAAATATTAGGATTCACCTGGTTGCGTTTCTTAGGAATATTTATTTCCTTTGTAATAAAACTAGTGTGGGGTTTCTGGGGTGGTGAGGTTTCTCATTGCATCCCTGTCCTTTATAAAGATAAAACAGTGTCAATGTGGTATCTTTCCCTGAGACAAGATTTCAGAGACCAGCAAGATTTACATTAGCTAGGTTTTTTTTGTGCTGCTGGTGTAGAAGACCACACACACGCTCACACACACACACACACACACTCACACTCACCTGTCCCTGGAGCTCAGAACTTAACCTTAGAGAGGATGTGTTTGCCTTGGGAATTGGGTCTGGGCAAGGGGGACAGTGCTATTTCACGGCGGTGGAAATGACCTTGTGTAACCCTGCAGCCTGAAAACAGGCTCCTGCTGAAGGAAGTCGGACCTACAGGGGAAGGGAGAGTCTCTGTGATTGAACAGCTGTTTGAGGAGGTAAGTTCAACTCAAAGAACAAGTCTCTCTGAGGATTTCAGCCTCGCATTTCACCTCTGTCTCTTTCAGATGCAAGTCTTGTTCAGTATTGTGATAACCACAGTGCCATTTCATTTAAAACTGCCTGGAGGTGGACTAAATGGCCAGTCAAGAACTTTTCAGTAATTGTTCCTGGTTGCTAGTTTTTATAGCAAAGAGAAAAGTCATATGAGCCCAAATAGTGTGCATAAAGGTGGACAGAATCCCTGGCCTGTGACCCCATGTGACCTTCATGTTTCCTAAAGAAGCGAGGTTCGGGGGGTGCCTGCCCCTCCTGATGGGGGGAGCAGAAGTTTTATCACCCGAGTTAGGGCGGTTAGATCTTGGGTGTCCTGATTCTCTTCTCTTTTGATGTAAAGCAGTTTAGTTCCGGCAAGCATGTGCGTTACACTTCGCAGGATGGCAGCTGCATGCTGCTGAGAGCAGGGTTTGCGGCAAGTCTGTCCTTTCCCTTATGCTGCAGGGAGCAGACCCCAACTGCAGGGACAGTGAAGAGCGACCCGTGATTACCGTGGCTGTTGTGAACACGCACCCCGAAGTGATTCCAGTTCTCGTGCAGAGAGGAGCAGACACGGAGCAGCGCTGGGGCCCGTAAGTAAGACACCGTCAAAGGAGAGTCCTGGCATGGCCAACTGCCGCCTCGGGGCCTTGCTCTAGCAGCGTCCAGCCACACGTACGCCCCGATCCGTTGGCACTGCTCGGGAACCATCTTAACTCATTTGGGCCTTAATAAGAGACTTCACTGCCACTATTTTTCAAACCTGGGCAAAACAAAAACTTTTTAAGTGGATTATTGGATTACCGAATTTTTTGTAGCTTTTATAAATGATGATAAATTTTGTTAGCTCGCGAGTTTACACTGAGCGGGGGCCGGCAAATCCTTCACTCTGGGGATGTTAAGCCACATTATTTTCATCTTGATCTGAACTGTTGAGTTCGCTAAGAGAAGAGCGGGCCCAGTGTAGTCCCTATGGAAATGTAGCCATGAAGTTACTGTACAAAGAAAACCTTATCCAGTTGTCTCTGGATGTTGACACACTGGGGGTGACACTGCACATCTAAGTTCACTACATCATCTGATGCCTTGGTTTCCACAGCTGGGAAGTAGGATGGGCAGATACCAAGTCCTGTTGGGTACTTCTGTCACTTCCCTGGTCTCGGGCCTCTCCTGCCTCTTGACCTCTGGCAGCCTTGGGATTCTGTTGTTCTCTGAAATTACTTTGGAAACGTGGGGTGGACAGTTCCTTGAGGACGGGTTCCACATGTTAACTGCTAATAGCCTTCCAACCAAGTTGCCAAACTGGGAGTTCTCTAGGCTTCTCTGCAGCCATCTGACCCTGCTGCCCCTTGACCTACTTCTGAGACCAGATCAAGGCCCGCCAGGGAATCGTGCTGCTGAGTGTGTCAAGCCAGCACGCGGAGCCAAAGTTAGATAGCTTTGCTTCTGTTTTCCTCCGTCTCAACTTTTCCTCCAGTGTTTTTATTCACAATATATGCCAGTTAATTTTTCTGTGTGCACTGTTATGTTTCTGCCCAGTAGGACAGCTATATCAGGTAGACACCACCTCTTTTTAGTTTTATTTTAGAGCAGAACGTTTGGCCCATTTGGTGGACGTATTTGGTGGCTGGAATTTACTTGTTCACCTTTCCCTGGGGTTCACATTCTTCATACTCTGTCAGCTTCTTCATTTGCCCCACACTTGGGTTATCATTATTCATAAAAATAATGCCACCATGTTTGGCATGAAGGTGTATTTTATATTTGTACAATTCAGACAAGCTTTTCTTGGAGCACTTATGTATAATGTCTGTGGTTGATACAGAATCTCTTGAACAGATTTTGAATTGATGCTTATGAGAAGTCCCGCTGAGAGGAAGAAACTACTCTGGACTACTCTGGACATGGAACAGATTACCTGTTTTTCCTTGCTGTTCCTCAGTTTCCATTCTTACTTCATTACCATTCTATAAATTGACATTTACCCACACGTGATCTCTACTAAGTCTAACTCTGTGGTTGTACCATCTGTCTGAACGGTGGGTAATAGCCTGTTGTCACTCCCACTGCATTAGCATGGTTAGCAGAATCTAGCTCACGTGGAGGGGGAGGGAGGAAAGCTAGACCAGAGCCCTCCCTCAAAATAGAGCACAGAGATCTCTTCTTCCCCTTTAGTTTATGCCAGTAGAAGAAAGCAGATTTCTCCACTGAGAGCCAACTCTGCTGTCTGCTTTATATTTGTTAGTTCGAAGTGTTTAGACCTGGGTCAGCCTGGCCTCTACCCCCTGGCTGAACCTCTGTAGATCCAGGAACATGACCTCAGGACTCCATCTATCCTACTGCTCCTCACACACAAGCCATCCAGAGATCTGGCTTTCCCATAAAAAAGGTTCAGTGAATTGTTCCTTAGCAAACAACGATTAAAAAACTCTTCCTCGGGCGCCTGGGTGGCTCAGTTGGTTAAGCGACTGCCTTCGGCTCAGGTCATGATCCTGGAGTCCCGGGATCGAGTCCCACATCAGGCTCCCTGCTCAGCAGGGAGTCTGCTTCTCCCTCTGACCCTCCTCCCTCTCATGCTCTCTTTCTCTCATTCTCTCTCGCAAATAAATAAAAAAAAAAATCTTAAAAAAAAAAAAAAAAACTCTTCCTCCCCGCATTCCCAGCTTGTTTGACTAGTGGAGAGAAGCAGCGTAGGTGGTCTCTACACCAGGTAACTTCTGTCCACTGGCTTGGCAGGTAGCAGAAAGCCCCTCCCTAGTGTTTCTGTTTCCAATGTTTGTCTCTTTCCTACCAGAATACACTCATATTCAACCCAAAGGGATGGCTAAGGAGAGGTACACATCCTCCACCAAAGCTGATTCCTCTTACTGGCAGATTTCAAGAACACAGATTCAAGGTCTCGCTAAGAGATGGGCAAAGAGAAGTGCCATTTGCTTTTGGACAACAGCTACCCTCCTTCACTGGCAATTTCAAACATTCTGTCTCTTAGTTCTGCCCCAGTAGCCGGGAGGGGTGGATGTAACCATCAGTCTGCTTCTTAGAGGTTCAACTGTGGAGAGTTAGTCTATTAGGTAATTCATGATTTACAAAGAGAGAATGTACCTTCATCTACCGTGATACTTAGATTTGAATAAACCGTTTGAGTAGTTTGTGCATTCATAGTAGAGTTTCTTTAAAACACAAATTCACAGAATACCGTGGTGTACCTGCTGTACAAAACACGTTCTAGAAGGTCTGGTGATATAACACCAAGCTACTCAGAGGAACAGACTCACAGGTATCGCCTCTGCTCTGAACAGAAGAGGGTGTCCCCTCTAGCGTCCTTGCCCTGTTGGAGTCAGAGCAGTGTACAGAGTTAGAGTCGGCAGTCACAATTCATTACTTCCCCAGACTGAACTGTGGTTACACAGAAAATCCAGCCATGGTGCCCCCTCCCCACCTCATAAATGGAAGGTGCGCTCTGCTCTCAGTTTAGAGGGAGTTATGAAAGAAGATCATGCGTCTACTCAGATGTGGCAACCCCGGGAATACATATAAGTTCCAGTGGTAAATGCCTAATAAAGACCCAAAGAACATGAGGGGTGAAGTAACAAACAGTTGTGCTACCAGGGAGAAAGGAAAGACGAAAGATATAAAGGAGGGTTGGTGTCATTGGTGTGACTTTATTCGCAGCCCACAGCATCCTGCATTGCAACTGCTTTAGCAGGATGATTTTCTCCCCCCCCCCAAACAGGCTCCAAAATACACCTCTTCATGAAGCAACTCTGCTTGGCCTGGCAGGAAGGGAGTGTGTCGCTGCTTTACTGCGGTATGTTTCCGGCCTCTGGGAGAGACTTCTGAGGGCCCCTGCTGACCTATGATGCTTTCAGAAGGCCCTAGTTCCTGAACAGTTAACCCTGTGAATGGGGGCCACCATCCCACTGTGGGTCCCCAGCACTGAGGGCTCTTAAAAGCACAATGAAGATGTCGTCCCCCCACCAAACATACTTGGTTGTAGGACTTCGATGCAATGGGAGCCGATGGGCAGGATTGGCAGTTGAACATGTTGAAATCACAGAGCCCCTCAAGGTTTCAGGGTAGAGCCTCCTTTGAGAGTGGGGGTCATAGTGGCCTCTTGGGGACAGGTTTAGGAAAGTGGGGCCAGGAGGCTCCCAGACTGGCCTCTGTGTCAGGGAAGAGCCAGGCCCTCAGGTTCAAGTGCCTGAGTCCTTCTATTCATGCCCATTCCCTTGGCAGATGCAATGCAAGCATCCAAAAGAAGAACATGAATGGCCAGACACCGTATGACCTGGCTCTGCAAACTGGGGATGATGTCGTCACCTCGCTCTTTGCTGCTAAGCTCGGCCTGGATGACTCTTAGACCCAAAGGCCTGCACAGGACCATCCAGTTCTGGCTCTTCTTTGTTTCTTTCTGAGATGTGTATTTGTGGTTTGAGAATTGAGGTTGAGAGGAACTCATAAGACTTTTTTTTTTTTTAATATGACACTGTAAGCCACCATGTGGGCATTTCCCAATATGCTGTGGATGGTGACAAACTTAACATATATTTTTTTAAGGGTTTCTTGCTGCTTATTTTAGAATTTTCTTTTAAATTTATTTTCCAGGGGACGCCTGGGTGGTGCCTTTGGTTAAGTGGGCAACTCTTGGTTTTGGCCCAGGTCGTGATCTCAGGGTCCTGAGATAGAGCCCCGCGTCGGGCTCCATGCTCAGCACGGAGTCTGCTCATAAGATTCTCTCTCCCTCTCCTCTACCCCTCTCCCTGAACTTGTGCAAGCGTGTGCTCTCTCTCAAATAAATGAATAAATCTTTTAAAAATTTTAAAAAATAAATTTGTTTTTCAGTAGATAATAATTGCACATGATTCAAAGCTAAAAAGTATGAAGTGTTATGTAGTAAAAACTCTGCCATCCCTGTCCCACAGCCACCCACATCCCCTCCTCAGAGGCACCAATGATACCAGTGTCATCTGTGTCTTTCCAGAAATAGTATAGGATTATATAAGCACATGTATATAATACATGCATCTGCACATAGAGGGTTTACGCAAAATACAAATATAGATAACAGATATGTTCTTTGCCCTCTTTAAGACAAGTACTAGCAAACCACACACTCTTCCGATGTGTTGCATCTTGTTCTCTTCCTTAATATATCTCGTAGGTGGTTCCAAGTGAGTACATAAAGATCAAGTTTATTTTTAAAATGTTGTTTCTGATGTTGAGCTCATCAATATTCCTATTGTTATGGTTTGTTCTTTGGTTGACAAACAAGCCTTGAATCAGCCATCTGCAGGAAATGTGTCATTTTGACTTACGTCTTTTTTCAGATTGTTATTTCAGTCCTTGGGTGATAGCGCTGCAGTAGTGTAGTCCCTGAATAGTTTCTGTTAAAGTGTGTTGATGGAATATTTATTAATTCTGAATGATTAATTCCGCACAATAAATAACCAACTTTGCTGAGTGGTTGCTGTCATCACTACCTGCACTGCTTTCCCGCGGGAGCGACTGTCTGCAGTTGGGGGGTGGGGCGGGGACAGGCGCAGAGTCGCTGGAAGCGATGCCCCCACGCGGGGTTGGGGGGCACTGGCCAGCCCCTGTCACACCCGGCCGTCTGTGTTGGAGGGCTGCGGCAAGGTAAGCAGGGTCCCGTGAGTCGGGGCCGTGTGCGCTGTGTCAGCTCAGCCGGTGCAGTACGACCCCTCCCAGACTTCTCTGCCTTTATGGTCCGATGCGGGGTGGGCCACAGGAGTGACGGCACGAGGTTCCAGATTCCAAAGGCGGAAGCGAAGTGCGGCCCTCACGCTAGGAAGGTGGGTGAGGGCCCCAGATGGTGCTGCAGCTCACCCTACAGGCTCTGGATTTGACACTCAGGGAGGAGGGTATGGAGTTCAAGACCGTTTTGCCCAGAGCTCAGGGAACAGGGGAGGCCCCTGGGCCCATGGGTTCCAGAATCTCTCCTCTTGGCGCTCTCAGGGGTAACTTCCATGCCCTGAGTGCAGGAAGCACATCTCCACTGTTCCCTGGGTTTCCACGCTTCCTGGGGGCAGGGCCTGCCCTTGTACCTGCGAGGCAAAGCGCACACCCAACATCTCCTGCCAGGGATCTTGCCTTTCGCTAAAGGCCACTGCCAGCAAAAATCACCTTTGGGTTTCCCTCAAGCTTCATGTACAGAGTGAACAGGTGGCTCAAGATGCAAGAACATAGGTTCAGATCCAGGAACTCTCTGATGAAATCCTGGAGGGTTATGTAAAGCATTATATAAACATTGAACTCCATGTTTTCAGGAAAAGTAAAGTTAAACACATGTTACAGGCAAGATTTCAAAATTCATGTTATTTCTTGTCCTTCGTGACGTTTTATTTTTCTTTTCCTCGGGTCCCTGTATCAAGGCTTGAAATGGGAGCAGAACCACCATAGTGATGCTGAGTAAGGGGCAATGAAAGGGACCGGACTGCATGCAGTCGTGGGAGTGAGTGAGTGAGGCTGGTCACAGGCCAGGAGCCCCTGTACCTCAGCAGGGCCGCAGTGGGGAAGGAAAGGTGGGTGCCGAGAGTGAAGAGCGAGGACAAACCGGAACCTGTGGGCCCAGTCTCCCTCCTCCCTCCTCATGGTCACAGGTGACCTGCAGGAGACCCTGGTGCCCTTTGGCATGGAGCTTGTTCCAGGCGTCCCAGGCTGGGCTCTCCAGAAACAGACTGAGACAGCTGGGGATGGGGGAGAAGAGGATGCGTGTTTATGGGGGATTAGCCCTTGTGGAAGGAAGAAGGGGGTGGTATGGCAGGAGACATCAACACAGACACAGCCCCCACAAAGCTGCAGCCGGCCCTGGGGCAGGGCGCTGGGGAGGAGGATTGCCCATCATCCCGCTGTGCCCGGACAGCTGTAGCTCAGTCGCCGGACCACCACTGCCCCAGGACAGCTGTGACTTCAGGCCAGGCAGCTCTCTGCTAATGACTGGAGGCAGTCTGCTGCCCTTCCTGCTGCCCGCATTCCTTATCCCCAGGTAGTCGGCGCTGCCCCGAGGGGCGTGCGGAGGATGCCCCTCTGTGTATACCACGGAATGCACGGCATGGGTCCCTGACCCAGGCTGCCGGAAGGGGGAAGTCTGGTGGGAGCTGCCCCCACCCACCAGCCAGCCAGTCCCGGGATGCCAGGGAGGGCGGCAGTGACACTGACCTCAGAGCGCCCACCCTGCAGGCTCAGTGGTTGATGCTCAGGGTGCCGGGTGCTACATGGAGTGACAATTAGCTGAGCATCCGGTACCTGGTGGCTCAGGCCACGGCGACCTCCCTGCATCTGGATTCGCCGTAGACTCCTTCTGAGGCTCGGCGGCAACTCTTGGAGGAGCCACCCTCACTTTGTGGCTTCATCCCACATCCCCACAGGGCTCTAGTGGCCTTGGAGTTTGCCAAATTCCCCCCACTGACCATCCATGTGAATGAATTCCCACGTGTTTATTGGCCAGTTGAGTACCTTATATTTTTCTTATTGATTTGGAGAAATATATCCTCTAGAATCAGAATATTTTCTAGGATCTAGAGCAGCAGTATCCAGTAGAAATATAATGCCAGCCACATATATAAGTTTTCTAGTAGCCAAATTTCATTTCCACTGATTCCCAACTTACTACGAATCCTGATGGGATAAAAACTGTATGTTAATGATTTTCAGCATCCATTAAATTGATTTTTCCCCATGAGTGAGTTGCATTGATAGTGTCTTTTTAAATAAAGCCTTCATTGCTGGGATAAATATAACACATTCTCAACTGAATTCCACTCCCGGATTTTATTTGCTAACAATCTGCTCGGGGTTATTATGTCTTTTTATTAATTGAAATGGAACTCTATTTACTTTTGCTATTTGTTTTGGAACCAGGGTAATGCTAGACTCACAAATGTTATAATCTTCTATTTTTTCCGAGTATTTTGGAGTGCTTTATAAAACACAGGAGTGAAATATTTCGTGCAGATTTGGGAGAAGGCTTTCAGTATAACTCAGGGTCTCATGAGTTGTAGGCATAAATCTTGGGGCTCTGTATCAGTCAGGGCTCAGACGGAGAAGCAGGACTCGCAGGAGATGTGTATCAAGAGACTCACTGCAAGGGACGGGCGTAGGTGGTTGTGGAGGCCAGCTGGGCAAGTCCCCAGTCGCAGGGCGGGTGTCAGGAAGGGTGGGCTGGCACTGCTCAGGAACGGCCGGCCGAAGCTGCTGCCCACCAGCAGAACTCCTTCTTCTCCAGGGAGATCTCTTTCCTTCAGGGCTTGCAGCCCATTGAATCAGGCCGACCCAGACCTGCTAGGATGATCTCCCTTTCTTCAAGTCAGCTAAGAACTTTAATCACAATACAAAATACAGTTCTGGCAACACCTAGATTAGTGTGTGAATAACTGAGGACCGGAGCCCAGGCAAGATGACGCATAAAAAAAGGACCATCACAGCCTCTGTTACAAAGTCATTGATTATTGATTCTTTCTCCTACCCCCAACTTGAATAAAATCGATAATACACACACGTACATTTTGTGTCCTTTTTTTTGCATAAGGCTACACATTTTTTTTCGGCCAGTTGCCTGGATTTTGGGGTCATACAATTTTCATCATCCTTCTTTTGTGTTTTTATATTCAGATCGGTTGTTAACTTCTCGTTTGGCCGCCACTATTTCAATTTGTGTGAATGTAGAGCTGCTCGGAGTAGCAAGAGCCTCACTTCCTGCAAATGCCCAAGTAGTGAGGGCTGAAGATAACTTTCTGGCAAAGCTGAACCCCTTTCTCCCCACTCTGGCCCACCCGGTCCCCAAACATGTCCTCAGAGAAGGACCAGAGTGACCTAACATTCATGTCTGCTTTGCTATCAGACCCCTAACCCACCACCAGGACCCTTCCCAGGATAGGGGAGGGGAGGGTTACTTTAAATGAGGTGGCCTGGGGGTTCTTGGGTGGCTCAGTCATTAAGCGTCTGCCTTCCATGATCCCAGGGTCCTGAGATCGAGCCCCTCATCGGGCTCCCTGCTCGGCAGGAAGCCTGCTTCTCCCTCTCCCACTCCCCCTACTTGTGTTCCCTCTCTCGCTGTGTCTCTCTCGGACAAATAAATAAATAAAATCTTAAAAAAAAAAAAAAAAAGAACCCTTCCCTTAGACTGCTTTGTTAAGGGAGACGTTAGCCTCATGGAGTATGAGACACATAACTTCTAGAAACTTCTATCTCTGGACACCCCTTGCTCTAAAATTTGAATAGTGTGAGGTTTTTGTGTGTGTGTGTTTTTACTTATTTGCTCATAATTTTGTTGTCTTTAGAGAGGGCTTGCTCTGAGCTCATTTAATACCACCATCTTACCTCAACAGCCCTATTTGCTCAGAAATTCTAGACTCTTCACCCCCTCCCTGCTCCAGCTGACATTTTGACATTTCCACCATGGTCGGTGCTCACAGCTCACTGCAGACCCTCCACTTCCCTTGCAGAAAAATTGCCATCTGCTATCTCTTGACCCAGGGCCTGGCAAACAAGAGATGCTCAGTAAATATTTAATTACATTAGGTTTTTGGGCGCCTGGGTGGCTCAGTTGGTTAAGCGACTGCCTTCGGCTCAGGTCATGATCCTGCAGTCCC